AAATAATCAACACATTTTTCAAATTATTATCATCTACTTGAAACTTCCGGTTATATTCAATAGCATATTGAATATTGTTATTTTACTCTTGTTTATATTACTTAGTATTATCTCAATAAAATTTATGTTTTTAAATATTTAGTGATACATCGTTAATATACTTTTTATATAAAGTTTTTAATAAAGACGGAAAAATAATTGTGTGCCGCTTACACATCAAGTTTTTAAGGTTTCGATGTTTCTATTGGAGTTTGTGTTGTTGGTAGTAAAGTTGTTGTTATTTGCATGTGTTGCTTTCAAAAGCATTTTATGATGGTAACTCACCAAGTTGTATTTAATCTAATTGATAATTAAAAAAAACAAAAAATTGTTCGAACTATACGAACAAATTTTACAATTTCTTAAAGTAACATATTTTTTAAGTTGTTCATTATTTAAAAGCAAGTTTTGATTTTTTAAAGTGTTATTAATTATTTAATTTCAAAATCCTTTTATCAAAAGAGAGTATGTGTGTATATTTTTATTGTTTTTTAAAGAGTGTTACAATCTTTATCGAACAAAATTACACATTTATGAGACAAATTTTTTTACTTTTAGGACATTTTAATATTATTTTGAAACATTATATCATTTTGAAACACTTTTGTTTTTTATTGGGACAAATTACAAAGTAATGAGACAAATTTTTATTGTTTTGAAACAAAATTGAATATAGGTGCAATTTTAATTTATTTTGAGACAAATTCAATTTATTATGAGACTTGTTTCATTTGAATCCGAACTAACTGTAATCAATAATAAATTTGATTTAACAACATAAAATATTTTTTATTTTTTTTATCATAAAAACAATGAAATGAAGGTGGAAAAAATTAACTATATTTTATAACAAACAACTATTATTATTATTATTATTATTATTATTATTATTATTATTATTATTATTATTATTATTATTATTATTATTATTATTATTATTATTATTATTATTATTATTATTATTATTATTATTATTATTATTATTATTATTATTATTATTATTATTATTATTATTATTATTATTATTATTATTATTATTATTATTATTATTATTATTATTATTATTATCACTTTTTGCTTTTATAACAATAACCAAACTTTAAGTGCTAATCAATTGAATATTATAAAGTAAAAAAATGTCATTTTATGATTATAGACAAATAGATGTGTATTTTTTTGAAAATGGACAAAAAGAAACTTTGTTTATAATAAACAATAGACTTAATTTTATTGTTGATTTACAAAAATGTGTTAGAAATTATTATCATTTTTGCATTATAATTAATTAGTTATTTTAATATTAAATAGACAAAATTTTAGAATTGAAAAGGATTTCTTGATTACTTTAAGTTGGAATTGTTAATGGTGATGCTAGTGTATTCCCTTCAACAACCTTCTTTCCTCTGACTGAGAAAATGAAAGTTTTTAAGTTGTTCTATTTTCATTTTTTTCGAAAAGTGAAATTATTTTTTGAAATTTTTATATAAAAAATAATAATTTTTTAATACCGGAAGAGTTAATGTATCCTTTTAATATATTTATTAACTTTTATCCAAGTTAATAAATTCTGCAACAACTTGTTAATTGTTGCAGAATTTATTAATAAATAAACAACAGTATTGGAGATAACCAAAACATAAAAAAATAAAAATTAGAATTGATGTGTTGTGATCAGTATTGTGTATGCTTGAAAATAACAATTTAGACAGAAAAACAAAACAGACAAAACATTTGTTTCTTCTCTGAAAGGTGATCGATAATGAATGCAAAACTAACCAACTAAAAAGCTAAAAACAACAATATGACGATAACAAAATATAAGTTTTTATTGAAAATGTGTGTAAAATAAACGTAAAACATTACTAATTATATTAAAGAGTAAAATTTTTGATTTATTCAATTTTCGTAATGTCTTAAGAACAAAATTGTTTTTAATATTTTTATATTGTCAGTCTAACAACGTTATCTGCTCAGAAACGATATCTGGTACTTTTTGGACCAAACCATGTAAATATTTACGGGAAACCATTCTAAACAACCCATCTCATTGTTACAATTTTTTCACATTTTTTTGTGTTTTACACGATTCCCATTTTTTGTACAAAAATACAGCCATTTCATTTTGATCAGATTACGTTTCCGAACAGATAACGTTGTTAGACTGACTCTACGCATTTTGTCGAGTTTTCGACAAAATATAATTTGAATGTTATTTCTTTTTATTTTTTTGAATAATAAATTCTTAAACACTTTATTGGCTTTAATTTATTTAAAGATTTATATATGTATTGTTCTTATATAATTTTTATATAAAATGTTAATGTATTAATTGTTATGAATAATGCATATTATAAACAAACTGAAAATATATAAAGAAATATAGACTGATGTGTTTTATTGTATTTATTCTACTTGCTGTTTATGGACAAAACTGTTATTTAACCCAAATTACAACAACATACACACACTCTTCATATTGTCTATTGCAAAACAATTTGTTAATTGGACTAGAAAATAACACAACAAAATTTACGTTTACAATGAGCCACAATTCCAGTATTAATTGTTACAACAATGAACCACAAAATAATAATTATCAAATAATAGCGCATGGTTATTCGCAAATTGTGATGGAACCATATTCCAGTTTTATTAATGTTAACGCATTAATTTTGACTGAAAACTGTTTCCTCAACATGACAAACAGTTCTATTTATTTAACAATTAGCACTCATGTTTTCTTGAATGGTAGTACAATAACTACATTAAATGGACGTTCTAAAATAACAACCAATAGTTCAGATTCAACATCAACAATATTTTTATCTGAAAAATCTGTTATTAATTTTAAAAATAGATCCTCTTGTACAAATTTTACTTCAATAGATATGAAAAACTACACCACTCTACTGATGGAAGATAATTCAAATGTTGTGTTATCAAGAATGTTATATTTAAAAAATTACTCAAAACTAACAATGAAGGGAAATTCATACTTTCAAATTAATAGTGGAATAACAGCAACTGGAAATTCTTTTTTAACATTTGAAGATAACTCTTTACTTAACACTAGCTTACAAATCAATTTTTATGACAATGTCAAAATTATTTTAAAAAATAATTCCAATCTCCAAATGGGTAGTGTTAATATTATAACAGGAACTTTAAATGTGTACAATAATACAAGCATAACAACAAGTGGTACTTCTATAATAAATTGTTCCATCTTAAAATTGTTTGACAAAAACACATCTTTGTTTATGACAGACAATTCTAAAATCAATATTTATATCTATTGTTCTTTAAATGGGAATATCAGTTTGACAAATCAGGCAATATTAACAGTGAATAGAAAACTCTCTCATGAAAACGAAGGAACAACTATAATGAATGATAACACAAAAATCGAAGCTAACCAATGTTCATTATCTTCTAAAATATTTGAAATGAATGGAAATGCAACATTATCTTGCCAGGACAAGTTAGAAATGAATTCACTTTTCGTTCTGAAAGACAATTCTAATGGTTCAGTTAAAGGAGATGTTATATTATCTGATGATACTCAAATTTATATAATGGGACACTCAGCAATAACAACAAATGGAAACGTTGTGGTTGGTGGTCAGTCATATATATTTAAAACGTTGAATATGAACGAAAGTTCAATTTTTAAAATCTTTGGGACACTTGTTACTGATTACAACACGACTTTGATAATGCAAGGAAATTCAATGATAAATTCCACTCAGTTTCTCACATTTAATGGTAATTTTAGTGTATTTTTTAATAATAATTGTACTTTAAAAACACACGACTCAGTTTATATGAATGGAAATAGTTCTTTTGAAATGAATGGATCTGCATTGATTGAGACTCAAAATGTTTTGTATATAACAGATAACAGTACATTATTGATGGATCAATACTCTAAAATGTATATCGGTGGGTTTGTCAAAATACATGATGCTTTTGAATATCAACCGCCAACAGATACACAAAAGTATTACAAAGGTGGTTTAAAAGTGTATCAAGGCGCTTCTCTGACTTCTTCTAATGTGACAATTATAAAAGGAAACTTGTATATAAGTGGTATATCTGATCACAAAGAAGATATCCCAAAAATAGAAGCAGACAATTTTGGTTGTGCAAATGGGTTTGTATTTTTTGGACAAGACTCGTTAATAATAACTCATACTAACGTCAACTTGTCTTTATGCATTTTAGACGTTTCTTCTCGAACAATTCGTGATATCCCACTATTCATCACTCGTAACTTCGAACAAAGAAATTTTACTATTACAGCGACTAATGATTTTGATTTGATTTATACTGACAATGTTTATTCTGGAAGTATAAATGGCACGTCAAAATTATTAAATGGCAAATTGACTCGTATGGGGAGTTCAGAAAAAAATATTTTGCCATTTGAGTAAAGTCGATTTATCAACAAAAAGATGGAGTTATACGGAACCATACTGTCCTCTTGGAAATGACGTTGATTGGTACATCACACTGTTGTATAATGTGACTTCAATTTTGATTGAAGACACAACAAAAAGTGACACAATGGTATTGAAAAGATACCAAAAACAAGCTGAGTTGTATTCGGATGAAAGTGCCACAATATTTGATACACAAATTTCGTTTTATAAAACTGACAATTTTGTTGTTGGTATTTTAGCAAACAAAGTCACTGAAATATCAACAATGAACTTATCAAAAAATGTTTTATTTATTTCAGAAACAAATTTATATCATGAGGGAATCACATTTCGTGCCGCTTTAAACAAGAATTACATATTAACACCAATTTTGTATCCAAATTGTGAATACCCATTAATGTACAATAAAACTAATCATTCATGTTATTCAACAATAGAGTGTAGTGATACAAATTGTAAGTATTGTCCATTAAATAGAAATTCTTGTGTTCAATGTCATTCTTCGTATTCTTTAGAAAGCGGGAAGTGTGTTAATATAACAAATTGTTTATATACAAAAGCAAATCGGTGTCTGTTTTGTTCCAAGGGATATTATTTACAAACAAATGGTACGTGTAGTCTGATAAACAACTGTGCTATAATTGAGTTTGATGGAAAATGCCATTTGTGTGATTACAACAAACATTTGATTAATATAAATGGTTATTGTATTGAAAAAGATTCCAACATTTCAATTTCAAGCGAACACACCATTGTTTCGTGTAACAAAGGGTTTTATATCAATTCATCGACGTGTAAAAATTGCACAGACACATACTCCAACTCATTGTGGTGTGAAAATGGAAGAACGACGAAGTGTCAGTCAACAAGTGAAATGACACCAAATGGAAAATGTGATATTAAAATATGTGACAACAAAAATGAGTCCAATGTGAGATGTTCAGTTGATATACCAGACTGTCTGTATACCACAAACAACAAGTGTATTGAATGCAAACAAAATTATCATATTTTTAATAATACATGTCAATTGTTAAATGACTTACATTGCTTGTTGTCAAACACATTAGGTTGTACATCATGTGAAAATGGTTTTTATCTTACAGAAACTCAAAGTTGTGAACGTTGTGATGACAATTGTTTGACTTGTATTTCCAATTCGAGAAAGTGTCTAAGTTGTACAAATGAATATTTCCTAACTAATTACAAATGTGAAACAAATGATAACATAAAATATAAATGCGGCTCTTTTTCAAAAGATGGAGGGTGTGTAATTTGTAAAAATGGGTATTACAGAGTTGGTCTTGACTGTTATGATTGTGATGTTAAATGTGAAACGTGTAATAACAATAATACATGTCTTTTTTTGTAACTCAACGAATTATAGAACTAAAAGTGGAGATTGCCTTCCACAATCGTGTTTAGTTGGATGTGATAATGTAACATCAAAAGGTTGTTCAAAATGTTCAGAACACTATTTTCAAATCAATGGAAACGAATGTGACAAGTGTGATGAGAATTGTAAAGCGTGTTCTTCACAAACGATATGTGTGACTTGTTCTTCTGATATGGTTTTATCTTCAAATGATAAATATCTTAATCTAATTTCCATTTCAAAATGTCTTGAAATTACAAATTCACAATGCACAACATGTGAATTTTAGAATTCACCCAATTTAGAAGGGAAATATTGTGAAACTAAAGTGGTGTGGTGGGTCATATTAATATCTGTGTTGGTTATTATAGTCATTTTTGTCGTCATGTTTATTGTGATAGTTTTGATTATAAGAACAATTCTGGCACATCTTCATCAAAAAGAAGTTGAAAAGACGACAACTATATTTGCAATGAAATTATCAAATGTTAATTTCATATTACTTCGTGGGGGAATAAGCGTGCAGAGTAAAGAAATTGATTTTAATTCAGACATCGAAGAAATGCCAGTTAATGAAGAAACCAAACAGACTTTTTGTGTTGGAAATTCATCGAAAAATGTTGTTAAAATTCAATTCACAATTTCTTCAAAAAACAACAAATTAACAATCAGATTTGATCCAGAAATAGTTGTGTTGAAAAGTGGGTTTGCTTGCGAATTTTCAATATATTTAACACCACAGTGTACTTGTCATATCACTGATACCATTCAAATTGTTTCTAAAAATATTAAAAACGGAAAAGAATGTTATAACTCAATTACTATCAAAGGAGTGACAAAACAATCAACAAGACTTGATTACGACGAGTTGATAGAAGAGAAAAAACTTGGTGAAGGCTCTTATGGTGTTGTGTTTAAAGGCACATTCAGAGGAAACACAGTAGCCATCAAAAAGATGAAAAACAGTAATGATGATAACAAATTAATGAAAGAGTTTGAGAAGGAAGTTGCAATGTTAGACAAGTTCAGAAATGAGTATATTGTTCACTTCTATGGCGCTGTGTTTATTCCAAGTCACATTTGCATGGTTTCTGAATTTGCAGAATATGGGAGTTTACAGGACTTGATAAAACACAAAAAGAGTGATGACATCGATATGAAGTTGCGTGTCAAAATGCTGTTGGATGCAGCAAAAGGGATTTTGTATTTACACACAAATGGGATATTACACAGAGACATCAAACCAGACAACATTCTTGTCTTCTCAATTGAACTGAACGATGATGTCAATGCAAAATTGACCGACTTTGGAAGTGCAAGAAACGTCAATATGATGATGACCAACATGACATTTACTAAAGGTATTGGAACACCAGTCTATATGGCGTTTGAAATATTGAATAAACAACACTACAAAAAACCAGCCGACGTGTTTTCATTTGCAATTACTATGTACGAGACAATTTCATGGATAGACCCATATTTACAAGAAAAATTTAAGTTTCCATGGAAAATAGCCGAATTCATTTCGTCAGGAAAACGATTGAAGCGAATAGACTCGATACCTGTTAATTTGTTTAATATTATAAACAACAGTTGGCAACAAGAATACAAATTGAAGTTGTCGTGGAAACAATTAAAACGTACTTTGATGATAATTGATTGTTTTGTGTTAGTTAAAGATAATTACTACAGTAAGACCTCGATTATTTCCAAACCTTGACATTTTCCAAACCTGACAAATTCAAAGATCTGATTGGTTGTTTGAAGTTTTTTGGAAAAATGCGAGGTAATCTTAAGTTAGTTAATTTAATTATTAGCTGATATAACAATTTACTAAAAAATTCAAAATCTTCAATTTGGAAAGTGTCAAGGTTTTTAAAATAAAAAAAATGGAAATAATCGAGGTCTTACTGTATTTGGTATTTTAAAGTTGGAATTATAAAATTTTATCATATTTACCAATGTGAAAAATATTTATTACTTTCGTAAATGTGATAAAACCACAATGTTTACAAAAGTGGGTAATAAGGGGAGAAATAAAGGTATTCAAAAACAGCAAGTTTTTTAAAAAAATAAGGATTAAACAAATTTGTAAGTAAATAAGATGTTTTAATAACAAACAATAAAAAATAAAAAATTGTGTATTTTTTTAGTTTTTAAAAATATATTAAATATAATGACAGTTAAAATTTTTATTATTAGAATATTATGTCATTAATTATTTATATCAAAAACCAACAATATTCTTTTTGTACCTTTTTTTAAAGTGAAGAAGAAAATAACAACTTATTGCAAAAAGGAGTACAAAATGAATACAAGTATAAATACATTTAAAGTATGTTTTAACAGTGCAAATTAAATAATTAAATGTATTTTTTAAGTTCAATTCAAAAAATGTAAACAAAATATTATAATGACAGAAATATGGAATAAATTTAATAATAACTTTTTAAATAGACAAAATAAATATGATTTTTTAATGTATATAATAAGTGCAACACATTAAGTTGTATAAAGTATTTTTAATATTATTTTATTGATTTAATTGGTTAAATTACTTTTTGTTTTTTCTGGCAATAAATTGTATTTTAATACACTTTTAAATCAATTCATTTGAGACACTTAATTTAATTATTACTGTGTTTTGAACACATAATTTGAAAAACATTTAACCAAAAATAATTTGTTTATTTTATATTATTTTTATTTTATAATTGGGCGTTATTTTTTTGTTATAAAGATTGTAGTATTTATTTTATTTAAAAATAATAAAATGATATTTTTATTTTTGAAAAAACGCCAATATGAATAAAGTTTTTAGCTTTGGTTGAAACATTCATTTTGAATTATAAAATTACACAAAACAACCCACGTCACAACATTTATTTACCTTTCAAACACTGTCTTGTTTATGTATTTAGTTTCTAACCACCTGTGGATATATCTCATCTCCTTTTCAAAGAATTTGTCATTCATCTCGTCGTTTACACCAAGTGTATAAGGTTCCGTTTCAATTACTATTATTTTCTCCATGACGTTGTTAATATGGTTGTTTCGAACCATAAAAAAATAACATTTGTTATCATGAATTGAGTATTCACCAAGCCCCTTTGACGCAACATAATTCCCGAACAAAAACCCCCAATTAGTGCTGTTCCACCTCCTCATTTTTGAATTTCTTTGTTTATTAATTTCATTCAAAAACGCCTGTTCGACGTCTTTTAAAATACTTTTTCTGAACATATGTGGTGTGTGTGACATGATCATATTTTTGTGGTTTGGATCTTTTCCAAAATACGTGTTAATAAGTTTGTTAGAATAAAACATGCAAGTCATGTATTGATTTTTCTCAAATGGTTTTCTATCAGCTGGCACCTTTTGTTCTGTGTGTATCACAAGTTTTTCTCCTTTAAAATAATAGTCTGGTGGTGTTGGTCGATAGAAGAAAAAGTCGTCTCCAAGAAACACAAAGCACTCAGACAAATTTGGGATTTTGAACAAATACGTTTCGATTGCTTCAGAATTGAATGTTGGCAAAATTGTGTTATTGATAAGATCTTTGTGTGGTATCACCTCAAGTGTTATCTCATTTTTAATGATTCGAAAATGTGTCAAATTACCGGGCGACTCAATAAAGTCGGGGACTTGGTCGGCGGTGACTAAAAAGTAGTGTTTAATGTATGGCAAGTACTTTGAGACACTTCTCATTGAGTATTTTAAAACTCTTGAGTCTCGATATCTGTTAAAGTCTATTTTATCTTCATATCGACTTAAATCGTTACGCCATTTTGGGTCACTGCCATTCACCCATATCCACACGGCATCGATGCGGCCATGACACATATTTGGAATGACATACATCTTTTTCATGTCAATTTCAGTCTGATTATTTGGGAATTTGTTGCAATATTTGCATTTCGAAAGTGCCTTTTTGTGCCACCTTTTTTCCTCAACCCTGTCTTGTTCTCCTTCTGTTTTGAACTTAAAAACATCAACGTCTTCATCATGTTGTTCAAAATATTTATCAGGAAAGTTCTTGTTGTATTCTTTGAGTTGTTGTTCTGTGAAAGTTGTAACAGAGTCGTTATCGTCTTTAAATTGTTCAGGACTGACATCTGATTCTTCGTTGATTTGTGGAGTTGCATGTACTTGTTTTTTGGTGTCGACTTGGTTTTCGGAAATTAAGTAAGAAAGTCTCGATTTTGGATTCGTAACGAGAGGCAAACCAATTAGAATAACGAACAGTCCAAGTATTAGAAATGCACATAGATTGAAAAAATAAATACTTCGAATCATAATTTGTTTAGGAGTTCAAATTCAAAATCAACATTTTTAGTATTAGAATAGAGTATCTTGCCAACATTGTACTGGTTTTATTATCAATGATAATTGGAAAATATCGGGATTTTGTTCATAATACGAAATAAAAACAGTGTTTTAAAATTTTTTTAATTTTATCAATTTTTTTAATTCCCATTTTAACATTTTTTGGTTTATAAATTGATAAAAATGATAGTTTTGGAGACTGGTACAACGTTTTACAACAAACTCTTTTATTTATTTCGGACAACAATAAGTAAGCTATTGTCTTTAAAAACGATTATTCAAAATTTATTGTATTTTGTTTACTATGTACATTGTTATTTTACTATGATATGTTAATTTGTTTAATTTTTTGCTGGTAATGAAAATATAATATTTTAGATATTTTTGTTGAAAATCTATTCAATTATAAATAAATAGTATTATTTTATCTAAATTAATATTAATATAAAAGTCGGGTTTAGAAAAATCGAAAACATTGTTAGTATGATTCGACTTTTTAAACTGTCGAATATTGTTTATATTGAAATATTAGAGGTTTGTTTTTCTAAATATTGTACGACAGAAAAAACACACAAAATAAATGTAAATATGTATAACAACTATACAGTAGGAGGAAATATGGGGATGCTCGAAAAAGGAGGATGCTTGTAACTATTGGTTAATTTCAATTAAAAAATAATAAAATTACTATTAATTTTAATATAAATTATTAATCAAAAAATAAATAGAATGAAAAAACCAAAATATATTTATATTAATTATTTATTATTAATAATATTAAATTGATTAATTATTAGATTAGCATCCGCCTTTTTCCGTTAACTGTAATTAAATTAACAAAAATAAAATTGTAGCTATCAATATAGTATATATTTTCAAAGTGACTTATTAAATATACTTGACCCCTTAAATTGTTAAATCTTTCGAGTTGAATTGATTAATAAGTATACAATTCGGTATTTTTTTTTATTAAAAAAAGAAACTGGTAAAAATAATCTAATTGGAATTACTTTTATATGAACCAAATATATAGTATTATTTTTCAAATGATTTTTCTACAAAAAATGGGCAATAATGATTTTTTTTAAAAGTTTGGTCAAATAAGACCTAATAAAAAAATATTTTTTGTATAATAGTTTTATTTTGTTAACTTTCAAACATACCGATAGTCAGACAACCATTTGTGTAAAAATTGTACCATTTGAAAAGTAACCCAAAAACTAAGTACAGATAGTAGAAAAATAAGGTGTCAGGAATAAATTGGGTGTCAAATAAATTAGGGATTAGTTAATGTAAAAAATGGGTTTCGTTTTTTTATTTTTTCCCCTCACAAAAAAATATAAAAACCATTAAATAACTCAAAATCAATCTGACACCCAATTTATTTTTGACACCCAAATTTTCTACTATCTGTAGTTACAGAAAGCTGGATAATCAATTAACAAAGAAAAAAGGTATGACAAAATTCTATTTTTAAATATCAGTGTAATTTTTATTAAGGTTTGATAACCAACGTAAGGGGATTTTGTTAACATTTCAAAAATTAAAACAAATCAATTTTTAATTACAAACTTGGTTTCAATATAAGTAGGAATATGAGTAATAACTAGAGTTGGTGGAAAAAAGTCCGGCTCGATAAGATAAACTATTTTTATAATAAACAACTATTTGTATTTTGTTTCTTTTTTATTATTATTAAAATTCAAATTACAAACGAGCCGAACGAACAATTCAATTAAAATATCGAGACATGCTTTTTTAGTGCTCAAATCCCGAAATTGTACTTAACACAAACGCAGTTTAGAAACTTCTTGTGTTGGTTCTCAGTCTTTTTTACATTTTGGTTCATTTACATGAAAGGTTTTACTGGTTTTTCCTGTTTGAGGTGGCATTGAAGGAGCGACAATTCCTTTTTTAATTTTCACGGCATTTTGCGGACTCACGTGAACGATATTTTGACAATTGGAATCGGTTGCTGTAACAAACCAGCCGCCTCGAAATGCAGAAATAATGGTTTTTATTGTTGCATTGTGTAGAATCGACTGAATGTTGTTAACCAATTAATTGGTTTGTGCTCCATCCCTTTGAGTAACAAAAGTATGTTGTTTACGTGAGTTTTTCTTTTTTCAATCAATTCACTGTAGTAATTCATTTGCTTTTGATTTAGTAAAGCGAATTGAGCACTTTGCAATTCAATTTCAGTTTTTGTATTTGAAATAACAACTTTGTTTTTCAAAATAACAAATTCATTCATCACGAGTTCAATTTCTTTTTCCATATATAATTTTATAGTTTTATCTTTTTAAATAATTTATTTTTAATATTTTGTTTTTTTCGAAAAAACAAAATGTTTTTCATTTATAATTAACAATATTATATTTTACTATAGTCAAATAAAGAGCCATACTTTTTTATCAAGCCGGACTTTTTTCCATCAACTCTATACAGAAGGCTGAAAAATCACTTGACAAAGAAAAAACTCTTTTCATTAATTCGTCATTCCCTTCAATTAGAGGTAAAAATGCAATTATTACCTGAGATATTTAAATTTTATATATTTCAATTTGGTGTGGTTATATGAAAAATAATAATTCCCATGTTAAATTGAAACAAAAAAGTGTATAACCTTATTATTATTTTAAAATTTATTCTTTCTTTCTGTTATTTTTTCTTATCCATAAAATCGTCCTTATTTTTACTATTTTTAGAAACAAAGAAAATCATTTTTAACACTAAAAAATAAAAACAACAGTTTCACATAATTTTATTACGATTAAAATATTGAGTAAATGTATTTCATTATTTATATTAAAATACATTTTAGATATGATTGACGTAATTCAGTTTAATTTAATAAAGTAATTCGATTAATTGTTAATATCAGGCGGCTCCATTTTTTACTCGAAAATACCCACGTCACCAAGTTTTTACCATTTAAATATATATTAAAAACTATTATTTAATAATATTTTTTCATTTTTAAAAACATAATTATTCTAACCCATAAAATAAGTCATCATATTTTTTTTATTCAAAAAAATACTTTGAATATCAAAAAATATAAAACAATCAAAAAGCAGAAAAATTTAATTGTTATGATTTAATTATGTCTATATTTTCAAAAAGGATAAAAAATCAAATTTATTTTTATATTTTTTTACAATTTAAATTATCCACACTATTTTATCAATTTTATTTTTTTTTAATAATTATCTTGTGAGTTATTTGCTCGATTGAATTCACATTTTGATATAACATATTTAAATCACGTCAAATATACAAACGGTGTTATCTATTGAGCGGCACTTGCTTCGGGTAATTAACAAAAATCAACAAAAGAGTGTAACACATTGGTTAGACAATACACAACAATTGATATATTTGATGTTGTTTTGAATGTTTAATAATAACATCGATGTATCACATAAAAGGTTAAAAATGTAAATAATAATTATGTGTGTATTTCACAGACTTGACATATTTAATCCAAAAACAGGAAAAACACAATTAACAATATTGTAAATATGTAATAAATATGGAAATAACAATAATGTATTTGGTGAATACCACACGTTTTTGGCAATAAAAGCTGTATTTAATAAAAAATCAGTATATTAATATTTAAAATTATTTATCACAAAAATAATTTATTGATAAGCAGAAAAATCCAAATCAATTAACTTTTAAAATAAAGTGTTTTTAAATATTCACATAACAAAGTTATCAACGTGATTAAATGATTAAATAAATTAATAACACATATATGATATTTTGAATATAACTTTGATTGTTAAATAAAAATTACATTGAATAACAACCGTTAATGACATTGTTTTGTCAAATATTCATTATAATTTTTGTGTAATCGGTTTGATATTCTGTTGAAAAGAAAAATCAAATAAAAACAATTTTTATTTATTTCGTTATGTAACTCCTTGGATATCCTCATTTTTCATGCAAAAACTATTTGTTTATAAATACTAATAAGTGAGATATTATATACAATTATTGTTCTTGACTATCATTTTATAATTTTTCATATTACAAGACTCAACAGTAAACAGGTTTATTTTGTTAACACCACAACACTCACAATATTGTAAAATGGGGCACCCATCAAATGCCAATTTTCAATTATTTCATCACACTAGTTGGTGTATAAGGTTCTACTTTTATTGCTACACTTTCATTTTGAAAACAGCTTAAAATTAAGCTTGACAAGTTTCAAGTGTGTAAATATATAACATCAAACAGAAAGCTTAAATGAAAATCGAAAAATATCATAAGTCTCAACAATTTTGGGTTCTGATTTGTGGCTCACACACATGCACATTAAATGTTAAATCGATTTCCCTGTTGTCGTAAAGTTAACAATAAAAATACACAATTTTATTAAAATTACATTTCATTTTTTATTGTTTGAGTTTATCATTGTAATAAGTAACATGAAACAACATGTGGTACATCCACAACATGTTTATATAATTACAATTTATAAATAAAAAATAAAATGTAAAATACACTTAACACACTCTGAGTTTTTTATATTCATATTAAATTGACATTGATATTATAATATATTTAAAGTAAAAATGGGTTTGACAATCATCGTTTGTATATAATATATATTAATTAATGATTTTAATTATGTATGTTGTTTATAGTGGATTGCCTTTTGTATTAAAAATTAAACAATTCAATTCAAAAAGTTTATTTTTCCCAATTTAAAAACATTTTAGTTTATTATAACGTTTTACCAAAAATTATTTTTGCCAAATTAAAAATTTAAATTCCAATTAAGGAATAACTTAACCAAATGATACCAAAAACTATTTTATTTGACAATTATTTTTTCTTGTTAAAAAATTACAAATAATACCAGTTTGATCTCTAAATACTGAAAAGCAAAAATTTGAGACGCCTGGTTAATATCGAGTAAATATGTTGATCATTAAAATTTAGTTGAATTT